AAGAACATAAGACCACTCACCAGCCATCAGTAAGAACACACAGAACACTCACCCGCCATCAGTAAGAACATACAGAACACTCACCATCCAACAGCAAGAACAGCAGAACACTCACCAGCCATCAGTAAGACACAACAGAACACTCACCCGCCATCAGATAAGGAACATTTACAGAACAGCTCACCATGTAATAGGAGGAAATAAATAATAAGAAGATTAGTCAGAATAGTCAGTAATATTGAAAGGGGCAAACAAAGGCTTTGTCTCATTTGCGGGGATGCAGGCGCATTGGGCGTGTCTAGGCTGCGCCAGTGAACTCGAGAAACAACGCGGAAGCGTTTAGTCACGTGCTTGCGGCCCAGTGGTCACTCCGCGGGCGGCATTCGACCACTTGGCTGAGAGCGGGAAGGTAAGACAAAGAACAGCGTCAGTATAAAACAGTGATAGCCGAGAAATAGTCGGACTACTATCTTTCCACCAAGTGAAGGACACGCCAGCTTATTACCCGTACTGTGCGTTCATATTTACCGACTTCCGACAACTTTCGTAGTAGATTTCTAATATGCCGCGTAAACTCTTTGTACTGTTTGAACTCCGTACAGGGGTACATTTGCCTATGTGTAATCTAACGTAACCCAGTAAAGATGTTTGTGTTTGAAATACGTGCATCTAGTGTTATTGTGCGCTTTATATGAAGGTGTGTACGACGATATTTCAATACACTACGCATTACCACCATTACGCATCACTGGGCGGTTACCGAGCATAGCAAGAGAAGCCATTATTACATGGTGCCCGTGACCAGGATGGCCGCCACCGCCGTGCCGGTTGCGCCGCGGCCGCAGCCACCTCGCGGCCGCACCGCGGCGCCGGCGCCGGTGCGATGAGCCGCGACTGTATTACAACCAAGCCATCAGTAAGAACATACAGAACACTCACCAGTCCATCCAGTAAAGAACATACAGAACACTCACCAGCCATCAGTAAGAAAACATACAGAACACTTCACCAGCGATTCAGCTAAGAACATACAGAACACTCACCCAGCCCATTCAGTAAGAACTACTAGACCACTCACCAGCCATTCAGCTAAGAACAGCAGAAACACTCACCAGCCATTCCAGTAAAAAACATACAGAACACTCACCAGCCATCGGTAAGAACATACAGAACACTCACAGCCTCCAGTAAAAAGAACCAGCAGATACACTCACCAGCCATCCATTAAGAACATACAGAACACTCACCAGGCATCGTAAGAACATACAGAACACTCACAGCCATCAGTAAGAACATACAGAACACTCACCAGCCATCAGTAAGAACATTACAGAACACTTCACCAGCCCAATCAGTAAGAACATTTACAGAACAGCTCACCAGCCATTCAGTAAGAACATACAGAACACTCACCAGGCCATCGAGTAAAGAACATACAGAACACTCACCAGCCATCAGTTAAGCAACATACAAACACTCACCAGCCATCAGTAAGAACATACAGGGAACACTCCACCAGCCATCGGCTAAGACATAAGAACAGCAGAACACTTCACCAGCCATCAGTAAAGAACAGCAGAACACTCAAACCAGCCTCAGTAAGATCATACAGAAAACACTCACCAAGCCATCAGCTAAGAACATACAGAAACACTTCCACCCAGCCATTCAGTTAAAGAACATACAGCAACACTCACCAGCCATCAGTTAAGGAACATTACAGAACCACTCAACCAGCCATCAGCTAAGAACATACAGAACACTCACCAGCCATCCAGTAAGAACAGCCAGAACACTCACCCAGCCAATCAGTATAGAACATTAAGAACAGCAGAACACTCACCAGCCATCAGTAAGAACATTAAGAACATAAGAACACTCACCAGCCATCAGTAGACATAAGAACAGCAGAACACTCACCAGCGATCAGTAAAGAACAGCAGAACACTCTACCAGCCATTCCGTAAGAACATAAGGAACACTCACCAGCCATCCGTATGAACATTACAGAAACACTCACCAGCCATCAGTAAGAAGCATAAGAACACTCACCAGCCATCAGTAAGAACAGCCAGAACACTCACCAGCCATCAGTGGAAGAACGAGCAGAACACTCACCACCCATCACGTAAGAACATACAGACACTCACCAGCCATCCGTATGAACATAAAGAACACTTCACCAAGCTAGACAAGGAGCGAATGACGAGCATCGTGTAGGTGGACGGCTGAGTAGACGCTGCCGCGCCGCTGCTCCGGGATTGATGTCGGTGACTTGAAGCAGCACGAGTGCGCCAGGAGGATGGACGGCGTACAGCACGCCGATGAGAGCCACCGACAGCACGATCCACGTTGCGGAATCTAATATCACCTGGCCTGAATAAAGGAATAGTTTACGCGTGGCGGACAGCGCGATCCACGTCGGAATCAAGATCACGATGGCCGGAATAAGAGCCTAGGGTTACACGTCGGGACAGCGCGGATCCATTAACGGAATAAAGGAATAGTTTATGCGTGGGACACACGATCCACGTCGCGAATCAAGAGTCACATTGGCCGGAATAAAAGAGCTAGGGTTTACACATGGAGGACGGCCGCGATCCATAGGAGTTTAAAGGACTAGGATACACGTGGAATAATGGAAGGAAGGACTATGTTATTGCATAAGACATCTATCCATGTAGGGATATCAGTATCCCAAGCCGGAATTAAAGGACGCGTCGGGGACAACGCAATCCAAGATGGGAAAGATAGCGGCTAAGTTACACTATGGAGACATCTCGCTTCAATCCATGACGTTGAGAATGGCTAAACTTACATGTGGGAAAAGTACAATCCCCGTTTCCAATCCATGAGGAGCAATACCCAACATGAATCTATGTAGGCAGTTACTTGCAGTAAAAATTTGTCTTGCCACAGAGATTGGTTTATCTGCGGGAACATGAAGATGGCAAACCAGATGCTTCCTGATCGTGATAAACGTTTAAGCATTGTCCAATGACACACGATGATATTACAATAAATAATCAAAGACCAGAAAAAGCAACCTACCACCCAACTCCATCCGATGATCTCGGTCCAATGCAGATGGAATGAAGATGAACTGCAATAGCATGTTGTACGGAACTGAACAGCTCACTCTACAGTGAAAAAAGGAAAGAGATTTCATATAGACAAAGCTTACGCAGCAGCCGGCACTGGCCGAAAAAAATTTCTAGTGGGCAGGGACAAAAATTAGTTACTCAGCTGAGCAGTCATGCATAGAAAAAAAGGTGCACCTTCTCTGTCAGTGTATATAAGTATGCTCGTGTGTGTGTGACCGATTTGTGGTTGTGTGCGTGTGTGTGCATGTCGTGTGTTGCATGGCATGTGCGTGTGTGTGTGTAATGGCGTGTGTGTATGTGTGGGAGGGGTCATTGTTGATAAACCTGGGATTATGGACTGCAAGCACTAATGACTGCATGATGATTTATATGCTATTTTAGGCGTTTTGGGACGTATAGCCTCTCTAGTCATTTTTGCGCATCTACCCATCTCGCCCCCTCTCAACAGGGCTACGACTCTCTACCGATCACCACCTTGCTGCGTACTACTACAGGAACTGCCCCAACCCCCGAGTCAACCGTTCAAGGATATAAGAGCTGCCTCCCAATTCATATTCCCAATGTGCGACATGTGCAATAATGTGGACAGCTCTTATATCCTTGGTCCGAGTCAACTAGACGGCGGCGAATCCAGTCGCGCCGCGTCGTACCTCGAACGCCCGGTTCGTGCCGGAAGCCCCAGATGCAAGACGCTGATTGCGATTGATGCTGACGAAGACGAGCGGGATGAAGACGAGGGTTCCAGAGCCGGCTTGCCGCCGTCCGGGTGCACGTTCTCAGCTTGTTGCATGACGAGGCATCTCGAACATGAGGAGAGATGCGTGCAGCGCGACATGATCATTCATCGCCTTGTAGTGACGTAGCCTAGCCCTCGATTCCTACGTTAAAATCACGTTAAGTTACAGCGGGCCGGCTTTCCGAAGCGCTAATTAAGTCCTTAATCATGATTAAATCACTAATCATGATTAACTTCTCGTTACTTAAATTGGAAGTGACTGTTTCACGAAGCGTAATTAACTTTAATCATGATTAAGTTAATCACAATATTTAATTCTACTCAGGCGGCAATGATTAAATTCCACTAATCATAATAGTTGCTATGTACTAGTAGTCAGTATTGTAGGTAACTAATCATTAATTAACAAGGAGGATTGAAGTATGATTAAGTGATTTAATTCATAATTAAAGTTAATCACGCTTCGTTGAAAACCGCCCCTGGTATAAAAATATCGGCAGTCCGTCTCATCTTACGTGAGATGGTGGATTATGGAGCAACATTGTCATATCTGGTGAGGCCATCTCAGTTGTTCATTAGCCTGAAAAAAATGCTGCTACCTGCTAATTACAGGTACCGGGTCCCGTTTTACACGCGTCCGTGTACGACTTCATCATTCTTCATTTACGACTTCACTTTATTTCGAGTTTTATTTTCTAGTTCGAGTTCGAGTTTTCGAGTTTCGAGTTTATTCGAGTTCACTTATATTTCGTTTATTTCGGATTTCCACTTCACTTCACTTTATTCCACTTCATTACGACTTCATTTTACGACTTCACATTTTCAAACTACCTAAAAAATTGAAAAATAACAAAAAAAATCGCAACCTATAATAACACATTGCAGCACGCTGTGCGTCAAACACGCAAATATGTTGCTTCTTTTGTTTTTCACTTTGGTGGCATCGTGGGCTGGAATGATAGCATTTAATTGCCATTGTTAATTTGTCATTGTTTTTGACTTTTCATTTTACGACCATGTTTTACCGGAATCTAACCCTGATCGTAAAACAGGACCTCAGGGTTCTCCCTACGTTGCGCCAAATGGCGGCTTGCCGCGCGGGCTACCCGGTTTGGCGGTAAACTCCCCTGGTTTGAATCGTGTGCGCGCCGTTTGAATCTACCTCTGGCCCGTTTAAAATTCCCTACTACAATAAAAGTTTGCCAGCGGCGGAATCGGGACCGTCAAGAATTGCCGTATCGACCAGGACACCCGACGCGTGTATTTTTTACGGTACCACGCCATGCACTGCAGACAGTACACAAAGTTTAACCTGACAATGCCCACCAGTTAACCTGAACTAATGTACACCGGGACTCGGCTACTTATATAATACAAGAACCCCCAAAATCCGTCTATGGTGTCGTTGCGATTTTACGCCATTAAATTAGTCGTACCGGTCAAAAATACCACGCCCCCCCTGGGACCCCTCTTAGTTTCCCCCCCTCCCCCTCCCTTCCCCCTCCCCTCCCCCTGTTTGAATTTCATCCTGGGGAGAACCCTGGACCTTACCTGTATCTCTGCCGCCCCCCCCATTCCCCCCAAAAGCGACGGGGGTAAAACGGTCCACGCGACGCTCTTTCTTCGACGCCACTGTGCGTTTTTTTGTGTTTGACGCTTCGCAACGTGCGTTCATTTAGCCACTTTTAGGTCGACTAGGTATGCGCCCAGACTAGCTATTTAGTGCCACCGGAATTAAGCTTAGCGCATTATGCGAAAACACATTTGTGGGGTCAAAACATCTTTGATCCCATCTAGATATTGCTCACGTCAAGTGTGTACACCGGACGGGCCGATAGTACTTGTTATACGCACCTGTATTGCTGGTTTCTCACCAGATTGTAGCTACCTACTGATGCGCCGCTATGCATGAACTTCCAGACCATATAGGCATTAAGACCTCCAGTGAGCTCCATTGCTATGTTTCCGTCAAGCTGTCAGAGCCAGATAGCGAACGAGAACAGCAGTAGGCACGCATACACGAGCAGCCTTTGCTAAATCAAAGAAGAAGAGACGAAAGTACATGTTATATTTGCTACTACCATGTACTATACTACTCTGCTGTGCTGCTGGTTGCTGAGTAGATGGTGACCTAGCTCTAGTACTTATAGCTTGAGTCATAGGCGTCTATGGTCCGCCCAGGGACGCGGAAGTACCTGGTAGGCCGATCGACGTACCTGGTAACATTCTAGTGCATGATGGTTTAGGGGTTAGAGTTTGGGTTAGGGTTAGGGCTTAGGTTAGCGTTAGGATTGGGATAGGCGTAGGCGATCCTTGGATTGTTAGTGGAGTAGGCGAGGTACTGTCCAGGCATATTAGATAGTAGTATTTAGTACCAGGGTACCGGAAGTACCCTGCGTACCAAGCATATTATCTCAACGTGATTTATATATGCTCTGCTGGTATCTAATATGCTGCGACCGTACCTCGCCTACTTCCACTAAGCAGTCTAGGGCAGTCTGCCTTACGCTACTCCCTAACGGCCGGGCGGGGCCGAATAGAGAACATGCGGTCCAATAAAACCAATGTGCTAACCCTGAATCCTAACCCTAACCTAACTATGTATTGATATATATTTATTTTTGTGTAAATGACATTGGTTTTTTGGCGACCCATGTTCTTATCCTTGCAACCACCCTAACCATATAGATAGTTACCTAGCCGGTACCGTTCCGGGTATACCGGACGCTACCCAGGGTACGTTTCCGAGTACCCTGCGGGACATAAGCCTATAGCGCAGTACTATAGCCACTTCACTCCGCCGCAGCGAAGAGGCTTGCGGCGGAGCGAAGGGGCTATAGTACTTAGAGCTAATGGTACTAGCTCAGAAGGTATTGAGGCTTACTGTCAGGCAATCGTCGCAGGCCTGTGGAATTGACACACGTATCGACTGATACTGATGCAGTCGATGCAGATCTTCATCGTTATGCAGCATATCAGACATTTCATTACGTTCAGTTGACAAGGCCAAGGCCCAGGGTCTCTACTGCATTACTGTTTCAACTAATACTAGTGCTTAATAAGCAACGGTATCTCCATAAAATTGAATTTTAGCTCAGAGAAAAGCCCTACTATCAGAAAATTGATCGCAGCGAAAGAGTTAAGAGTTTAGGAATCACTAATCTATCTTGACAAACGCATTTGTTGTTTATCAATACTACCTAACCAGTTGAAAATTGTGTGCCAGTGCTATATACAAGTATCCTTTACCTTGATTAAACCTGAAATAGCGTTTTTAACATTTCATTTTTCTTTTAGAATGACGACATTTTGTATTGCTACAGGAAATCAACATTACTGAGAACATTAATTAAAACTCTAGCGGTGTAAAAGATAAATCTCACAGCAGAAAATACGTAACTTTGAGTAAGGCTATATTACTAATTACATTATATGTTTTTAATATATATATTTGATTTTCTATAAGACGTTAATAAATATTTAATTACTGGTATTAATATCTGCAGTGCTTTGTTAATAGCCATGGAAATTATTAAAGCTCGGTTAAAACTTTCTCCGGTAACTGCGAATTTCCACCCATACAACTAAGCATGGGCTTGCGCCCGTCACACAGTGTGAGTTATAAACACTACTCAATATGCGATTGGTTTCCATGTATTAGATAATAGTACCTAACGAATAGAGTTATTTATTATATCACCAATGCATGCACCAATAATTTACATATTTTCTATTATTATCTATTATCCACAACACGGTTTTTTCGTCGATTATTAACTTCAAGTAGACATTTTACAGTAATTCCTGCTACTGCTAGTGTGCAGCGCAAACATGGAAACATCAACCGGAGTTGTACTTTTTAGGGCGACTCATATATGGCGTAAGCATTAGTAGTATCTACTGGTCTAGCTGATAGTAATTAATTATTACTATTAGGTTTTAGTAGTAATTCATTAAATTGGTCAGCCAGCAGGTGGCAAATTTCCATGCTGTTAACGAATATGAATCATTAACCAAAAATTGAAACAGTTTGCTGATTAGCCTCGGTCCTTGAACACGATATCCGTACAAAGACATTTTACTAGCAAACTTCATTGCCTTACCTCACGTTTCCCATCGGTAGAATGTTCTGCCCAGCCATTTCATTCAAACATCAGCAAGATGCACCCTTCACACATCGGCTGTGCTCGATGGGGAAAAAGGCGAGGAATGAATCCAGGACCAACTAAATTGCCAAAATAACACCAGGTTCGTCTGGGAACCATCAGAACCTGAATGAACCTAGGGACGTCCGGCCAGTAAGCTCATATCCACTTACTAGTATCTTAACCTCTTATTCTCTCGTGTGCTCCTTTTGTTTTTCGTGGTGCATTGTGGGTGGAATGATAGCATTTAATTGCATTGTAATTTGGTCTTGTTTTAGGACTTTTCATTTTACGACCATGTTTTACTAGAACCTAACCCTGTCGTAAAACAGGACCTACCTGTATCTCTGCGCCCCCAAAAAAAGACGAAAACCGGTCCACGCGACGCTCTTTCTTCGACGCCACCTGGTGCGTTGTTTGTGTTGGCTTCGCAAGTGCGTTCATTTAGACAGCATTTAGGCGACTAGGTATGGCCCAACTCCAAGCCTAGTTTAGTGCACCGGATTAGCTTAGCGCATATATGCGAAAACACATTTGTGGGGTCCAAAACTATCTTTGATCCACTAGATATTGCTCACCGATCGAAGATTGTACACCGACGACCGTAGTACTTGTTATACGCACCTGTATTGTGGATTTCTCCACCAGATATAGCTACCTACTGACGCGCCGCATATGGCCATGAACTTCCAGAACCATATAGGCATGAAGACGCCCCAGTAGCTCCATGCTATGTTTCCGTCAAGCTTCAGAGCCAGAAGGAACGAGAACAGCAGTAGGCACGCATACACGAGCAGCTTGCTAAATCAAAGAAGAAGAGACGAAAGTACATGTTATTATCTATGCTACTACCATGTACTACTACTACTCTGCTGCTGCTGGGTTGCCGAGTAGATGGTGACCTAGCTCTAGTACTATAGCTGAGGCTCATAGGGTCTATGTCCCCCAGGGTACTGCCGGAACGTACCCTGGGTACGGTCCGGTATACCGGAACGTACCCTGGTAACATCTAGCTGATATGGTTAGGGTTAGAGTTTGGGTTAGGGTTAGAGTTAGGGTTAGGATTAGGGAGTAGGCGTAGGCGACTCCCTAGACTTGTTAGTGGAGTAGGCGAGGTACGGTCCGGCATATTAGATAGTAGTATTTAGTACCAGGGTACCGGAACGTACCCTGGTACCAGAGCATATTAATCAACGTGATTTATATGCTCTGCTGGTATCCAATATGCTGGACCGTACCTCGCCTACTCCACTAACGAGTCTAGGGAGTCGCCTACGCCTACTCCCTAACGGCCCAAGAATAGAGAACATGGGTCCCAATAAAACCAATGTGCCTAACCCTAATCCTAACCCTAACCTATTATATTGATATAATATTATATTTATTTTGATGTAAATGACATTGGTTTTATTGGGACCCATGTTCTCTATCCTTCAACCACCCTAACCATATCAGATAGTTACCAGGGTACGTTCCGGTATACCGGACCGTACCCAGGGTACGTTCCGGCAGTATACCCTAAGGGACATAGACCCTATGAGCAGTACTATAGCCCTTCACTCCGCCGCAGGGAAGGGCTGCGGCGGAGCGAAGGGCTATAGTACTAGAGCTAATGTAATGGTGACCCAGAATTCTGTGATACACTGATGACTGATACTGATGCAGTGATGCAGATCTTAATCAGTTAATGCAGCAATATCAGACATTATCATTACGTTCAGTTGACAAGCCAAGGCCAGGGTCTCTCTGATTACTATTTCAACTAATACTATTGCTAATAAGCCAACGGTATCTCCATAAATTGAATGTTAGCTCAGAGAAAGCCCTACTATCAGAAAATTGATCGCAGCGAAAGAGTTAAGATTAGGAATCACTAATCTATCTTGACAACCAATTTGTTGTTATCAATACTACCTAACCAGTTGAAAAATTGTGCCATGAGTATATACAAGTATCCTTACCTTGGATTAAACCCCTGAAATAGGTTTTTAACATTCATTTTTCTTTAGAATGAGACATTTTGATTGCTAACAGGAAATCAACATTACGAGAACATTATTAACAACTCTAGCGGTGTAAAAGATAATCTCACAAGCAGAAAATACAGTAACTTGAGTAAGGCTATATTACTAATTACATTATGTTTTAATATAATATTTTGATTTTCTATAAGACGTAAATAAATATTTAATTACTGGTATTAATATACTGCAGTGCTTTGTAATAGCCATGGAAATTATAAGCGTTAAAATTTCTCCGGTAACTGCGAATTTCCACCCATAACAACTAAGATGGCGGCGCCCGTCACACAGTGTGAGTTATAACACTACTTCAATATGCGATTGTTTCCATGTATTAGACTAATTAGTACCTAACGAATAGAGTATTTATATATCACAGCAATGCATGACCAATAATTACATATTCTAATTATTATTTTATCCCAACAGGTTTTCGTCGATTATTAACTTCAAGTAGAACATTTTCTACAGTAATTCCTGCTACTGCTAGTGTGCAGCAAACATGGAAACATCAACGGAGTTGTACTTTTAGGGACTCAATATTGGCGTAAGCATTAGTAGTATCTATGGTCTAGTGATAGTAATTAATATTACTATTAGGTTTAGTAGTAATTCATTGAAATTGGTCCAGCAGCTAGGTGGCAAAATTTCCAATGCTTAACCGAATATGAATCATTAACCAAACATTGAAACAAGTTTGCTGATTAGCCTGGTCCTTAAAACACGATATCGTACAAAAGACATTTTACTAGCAACTTCATTGCTTACCTCACGTTTCCCATCGGTAGATGTTCTGCAGCATTTCTTCAACATCAGCAAAGATGCACCCTTCACACATCGGCTGTGCTCGAATGGAAAAAGGCAGGAATGAATCCAGGACCAACTAAATGGCCAAAATACAACCAGGTCGTCTGGGAACCACAGAAGCCTGATGAACCTAGACGTCCGGCAGTAAGCTCATATCCACTACTAGTATCTTACCTCTTATTCTCTCTCCTTTACAAATACTTGTCCTGGCCGAGAGAGACTGCAGCTACTTCGGCGACCATGTAATTTTTCTGAAATTGTTTCGAAGCATCGTCAAACCCCTCATCTTCACTTGCGTTTGCAGGAGATTTTCCATCACAGAGCCAACATCAAGTATAGTCCGAAGAAATTATGGTACATAGCCAGCTGGATCCGTGGAATGTCCATTGATGAAGCCATCAAGCAGCTTTCCTTTCACCCGCAAGTCGGTTCACACACAGTCAAAGAGGTACGCACCTAATTACTTAAGTTTGACGTCCTAGTTATATCGACCTATTGTAGATAACGCCAGCATTTCTGTCTCAGAATTATGCAAGAGACTATGCTAGTGGACATGCTCGGATTGGGATCATGAAGGTTTGTTAAGTTTGTGATTCAAAAGCAGCAAGTTCTCCGTCTACTATTAATTTGAGGTGTAATTTTGATGAGGATTTTTTCATTAATTTTGTGAGATTTTACAAGTTTTACGAGATTTTTTGAGGAATCTTGACGAGGAATTTTGACGACAAGTAACTTTTATTAAGGAGATGGAAGTGAAACATCTAGTGAATAGCTGATGAATGAAATGGCATATTTTTATACTGTGCTGGTGTCTGTCATATGTATGATTCACACTGATGTCTGTGTCAATGACATTTTAGATTGACATCGATTTCTTTCTTCTAGATTCTTCTCGAAGCCCAAGACCTGGCTGTCAAAAATCACGGAGTAGAGTACAAGTCCAACTTGTGGATAGGTAAACCAATAACACATTGGAATAGTCCCAGTTACCTATCTAAATAATATAATCAAAATAAATTTATGGGTTTTGTCCAGCCATTATGGTTTGTTCAGAGTGGGAATTACAATCAGAATTGGCAGAACAACATCTTGTGACATCAGGAGAGAATACCCTCTAAAGCCATGGTCAGATGATATGGGGCCTAGATGCAAATGTAAACATCTTCGCTTGTCCATTTCAGCGGAGTCATTAGCTGGCAGGAGTAGCTACATTAAAGGGTTGAGAAGACATGGACGAGCGAGGTGTGTATTGAGAATTTAGCAGCGTGCAAAAATTTAGCTGCAGACGATAACTAGACTGTCAAATCCGCGGATTTCCGCGGATCTGCGGAAAAATCTCATCCCTGCATACACAGTGTCACACAGTGTCATACACAGTGTCACATACAGTGTTGCACAGTGCCATACACACTACAGTGTCATACACAGTGTCATAGAGTGTCTGTCATACACAGAGCTATACCGGCATAGATACCTAGGTAGTGTTATATGCATAGCTCTACCATACATCTACCTACATATAGCTCTACCATACAGATACCTAAATACCTAGGAACACTGCCACACACACAGTTCTACAGTGTAGATACTATCTACATAGCTACAGTGCCGTATATGTACCCTTACGTGTCTTAGGATCTTAACCTTGGTTCAGTAACTGTAAGATATCTCAACTTTTTCTAACAAACGCTTCCTTGCGAATGCCCTACACTTCGCAGTCGTCTGGCAATGAACACACACGCGCGTCTACAGTTGCGACTGGTGTCGGTGCACGCACAGTGACGACCCGCATTCAAATAACGCAACCACCGACTTCCTGTCCGTGATATCGGTCAATAACGTGCAAGACAGCGTTATCCAGACTGACTACGTGCTCGGCGCGACCGCTGCAATGTTTATTTCCACCCTATCTGTCCTGATCACATCAAACCTGTGTCTACAGCCTGTTGTCTGCATGCTTACCCCCTTTAACACTGCCTAACAGCAAAACAGGTTAGCCGTCCGGTCTTCATGGAAAAAATTTGAGCCACTGCTTTCGGGCAAGTATTCTATGAAACGTACATGCCCGAATGAAATTCTAGTTGCCCATATATTTTGCAGGAATATTTTTGGAATATCGAGTAGAGAAGTGTACACCAGACAACTTCTAGATGCCATTCGTTTCCGGTGTTAACATTTCGTGATCTTAAATTAAAAACTTTTAGTTAATGGCCAGTTTCATTATATTTTATGAATTCATGAATTTATACACATCTCGAGCGTCGGATGCCCGGCTAAATTCGAAGACTGGTCATCTATCCTCGCACGCACGGATCTACAGGGCCTAAGATAAAATATTGCTTGTTTCCCCTTTACCGACCGACTCGCCAAAACGCCGCTACTCGACACATTTTATTGGCCGATTAAAACAAAACAAAAATCAAATTCGTTCCGCAAAGACATACATACACAAAACAGAATATATAATACAATATACATGTATACACACATCTTGTCAAAACAAAATAAACAAGATTTTTCACCTACCTATCTACTCGGTACCCTAAGAGGCGAGTAGGTAAAGGGAAAACAAACAAGTTTTTAAGGGTGACCTAGGGCACTCGCATTCCTACCAAAGGCTGTGGAAATCAACAACGTTTGCGTGTTTGAGCGCGATTGCCGTCGGCCGAGGTGTCGTGGTCAATCTATCAGGAAAGGGAAAAAACTATCTGCTAGGAGAAACTATCTGCTAGGAGAAACTATCTGCTAGGAGAAACTATCTGCTAGGAGGAAACTATCTGCTAGGAGAAACTATCTGTTAGGAAAGGTACCTTCTAGGGAAGGTATCTGCTAGGTAAGGTATCTGCTAGGGAAGGTACCTTCTAGGGAAGTACCTTCTAGGGAAGGTATCTGTTAGGGAAGGTATCTGCTAAGAAAGTATCTGCTAGGGAAGGTATCTGCTAGGTAAGGTATCTGCTAGGTAAGGTATCTGCTAGGTAAGGTATCTGAGCAGTAGTCTGTATAGTAACGGTATAGTTGTGTTTTATGTGTTACACGTTATAGTGGGCAGACGCAGGCTGCAATAGTCTGTGAGGGCAGGGTAATGTTCAGAGCTACATGTTACGCACGGATAATACCAGAACACCGGCAGATGCAAGACACAGTAGTAACGGTAACCTTCACACGTTACACGCGGTTACATGTGAAATGCTGCTACCAGGCGGTTACACATCTCACGTGCGGCGAGACGACGACGAATTAACACATCGCCTGCTATCGCAACGTCTGCAGAAAGTGTGCAGAATCAAAGCAATCGACAGACCCTCGATCCCAGCTCCCAACAAAACCTATAACAAACAACGAGTCTCCGGACGCCACATACCCTTGAGAACATCCTTCACGGCTAGCTCTCCCATCAGTTTCGTTTTGCCGTAGGTGTTCAATGGATTTGGCGTAGCGTCCTCCTTGTAGGGCGGCTGTGTTCCATCGAATACATAGTCCGAGCTGACGTATATCATCCAAGCACTTAGCTTGGCTAAAACAGAAGAAATGCGTCTCCGTGAGCGAACTGGCAGTCAGGGTAAGATACGTGTGAAATGATCATAGATCATTGTTAATTAAGTTCATCTGTTTCTTATAATCCAATAAATGAATAAATTCTTTTTAACCAAACAAGAACTTTTTTCCATTATATAAGTTCATTCGGTTGGTAGACTAATAGATCTAACTGGGTTAATTGTTACTCAACCGTGAAGATTGGAAACGTACAGCAACTTATTCATTTATTGGATGATAGATCATTGTGGTAGATAACCTTGACCTGACGTGATGCTATCGACTTCTACGTTCACCGTCACATAGGTCATGTAGGAAAGCTAAAGCTGTGGACACACTAGGCGATTTTTCAGGCAATTGAGTCGGGCGACTGAGTCGGGTGACTCAATCGCCTGAAAAATCGCCTAGTGTGTCCAGTGAGTCGCCGGCGATTTTCGAGTCGGGCGACTCAATCAAACATGTTTGATAAAATCGGGCGATTATTTGAGTTGCGCGACTACAATCGCCTAGTGTGTCCGGGTCGGAGAATGAGTCGCCCGATTGTACAATTCATCAGCCAATCAAACGGTGCCATTTTCAATCATGTGACTATCAATCTAGGTGGCACGAGCATTTTAGTGTTGCAGCGGGAGAAAAATCGCCGATGAATCGCGCTGAAAATCGCCTAGTGTGTCCACTCAGTCGTCCGACTCAGTTGCCCGACTCAATCGCCTGAAAAATCGCCTAGTGTGTCCTCGCTTTAATTTTAAGGAAACTGGAGAATGCACAAGAGAGAAGATATGGTGAATTCACAGGAGAGTAAATGGAGAAAGCACAGGAGATGAAATGAAGAACACAACGAGAAGTACCGGAGGCTACAAACAGGATAAGAAATGAAGAAAGTGCAGCTGAAAAAATGTATAAAGTGCACGATTGGAAGTCAAGAATACACACGAAAGAAAATATTTAAAACATGAGAGGAAATGGACAAAAGTGCAGTCCTGAGAGGAAACAGAACTAAAGAAAAATGAGGGAGAAACGGGCAGACCTGCCTCCTCTGCGATTATGCGAGATGCGTCAACGTTGAGCAGTTCTGCCTTGGCCACGTTCTCTTCCACAATGTCGGGATGGCGTTCTGCTGCTGCGTGTACAATCACTGACGGCTGCAACGCAAGCATCAGCACATTGGTATTTAAACATGGTTATCGTTGGTAATACGGCATCAGGAATTAATCTCTATCATTCATGAGTCTGTGAGATGGCTGAGGGCATCGGGCTGCGAATGTGACATCTGTTAGGGGAGAGGCAGGTTTGAATTTGGGTGCTCCACAAAAAGAAACGTAGTCATGTGGGCCACTATATGAAATCGGTTGAAAGAACTCGAGTTGAAATGTTAATACAGCCAACTTCCCAAATTTTAAACGCACTCAAAACGGAATCTCATGTTAAATCAGATGATTCTTTAGGTCCCAACACCATCTGAGACATGTAAGATAGCCCCCCCCCCACCATCCTCGTATAAACCAAACTTCACAGAAAATCGAAATAAATGCGCGGTCCCGAGGACAGTCGGTGTAGGAGAGTTGACTGTACGCACCATAACATTTAATAAATAACAAACCACAAAGAAATCGGATAGCAGATCTATCAATTTCAACAGCCGATTTTTCTGACTTCGATTTTCCCTCGGTTATCTGCAGGTATGGAATGGTCGAATACAAGTACTGCCACTACATGGTCAAGCTGCAGGAGGGTTCCCCACCTGAACACTACTACCCACCTCCTCCCAACCACTGGCAGATGATGGAGGAATACCTGGCCAATTGGCGAAGGCGCACCGTGTTAAACGGACTCAAGTCGTGATGTTGCGTGACAAGGTCGTAATTCCGCGGCGATCGCCATGTTCGCAGTGCAGTGAGCGATCGTAGTAAGAGATTGTAGTGAGAAATCGCACGAGCGATACATCACACGAGCACGATGCACTTCCATGGAAGAACGGGCTCGGAATCTGATCCAGCTTGATGCGCGATTGAAATTCGGAGTGCCTCTCCTTTGTTCGACAAGATTCATATGAAAAGTGCGAGGAATTGATAGAACATGCGCTCATTGCATAAAATGTTTAGCGAGTTGTTCACTCAATAAAAGTGTTTTAATAATTATTCGTCTGTGGCTGATTTATCACATTCACCCCAATTAATGTGTTATGCGACGTTGTACATTAACTACACGAAGAAAAAGGATTACCTCAGTCATTCTTTATTGTTGTCAAGACTAGTTTACAATTTCCTTTCCAACCCTCACACATCAGAACACATGTATATGAATATGTAAACTCTATATGAAAATTCTAGGTATAGGTGAATAATAGGTATTACATTAATTTAAAAAAACACACTTGGATTTCCAAGTTCACTTTCCAATACATCTGTTTATCATCAATGTTGCATGAAAAAGAGAAACCTTTTACCTTAACACTGGCCTGTACCACCCACCCTGTATAGCCAACAATTCCATGCATGGAGATGACAAATCTGTAATCAATAATCAATATCCGAGATCTAATCCATTTTATATCTCTCCGGCTCATAAATACCATCTACATCACTACATGCAATATCATACACTAGCAGACCTAACACGACTACCATCCATTAATTCTTGAGTTCGGTGATGTTCGGCAAAAAACTCACAAGGATGAGTTGCAGGGATAACGATAAACTGTTCGGCGGCGACATATAACAACGGCAATTCATTGGCAGGCATTGAGGTAACGAATGGTTTCCGCCATAGGTAAGGTATCTGCTAGGTAAGGTATCTGCTAGGGAAGGTCTCTGCTATGGAAGGCATCTGCTAGGGAAGGTATGTGGAGCAAACACGTGAAATTTTAGGTGGTAGTAATTACCAGGGCCAGTCAGCGCGGACTCGCCACGCTAGTCCATGCACGCTTTACAAAGCAGGGGGGCAGAGGGCGGGGGGGGGGCAGCTGCCCCCTGCCAAATAAAAAGAACCCAGTAAAGAATAATGGGAACTTAAGATTAGAAAATACTAGCTTAACCGTTTGGGGAGTTTTAGGTATGTAACCTAGACTTGAAATGGCTGGAAATGGCATTTCACAGCTTCTATATTTCAAAATTTCCAGGGTGGGGCATGCCCCCAGACCCCCCTAGAAGCGAGCGCCTCTGGCGCGCGTTCATCTTGCTCCCCCCATACAGTAATTCCCAGCTACACCCTGCGAAGTCGTAAACCCCTTGTGTAAAAACGTTTCGAAATACGCGTTGGTATAGTTATCTGACCCATATTTCAACGTTGAATTGTCAGCAACAAGTGAGCGAGTGCTCAGCGTGTGAGATTGCCCAGGGCAGCGACACGTATGTTATTGCTTTATCGCTTCGCACGCAAGCATTTGTACTGCACGCAAGTGTTAGATTTGTGCACACCGTCTGCGTCCATATCAGGAAGTTAAGGGCGAGTTCTAACATTATACCAAACAGTTGTAAACAAAAACGCACATCAACAAATAAACTAGTAACACTTACCAAGTTTCTAGCAAGGTGTACTCATAACTACACTGATCATTTACCCCCGGATTTTTCAGCTGAACCCGGGAATACTCTGTTCACTGCTCACCAGCCAATGTGACTGCGAGAGTGCATTGGCACGTGTTGTACTGCTGCTATAGCTCCCGGGAGCCCCAACACACCAATTCCAGGCTTACACAAACGTGCCTATTTTTAACGTGATCGGCTCAATGCATACTGACAGCAACGACTCCTTTACCCGTGGCTAACACGTGAATATGATATGCCCCATATTTCTATTCAGTCTGGGCTCGCTATTCAAATACATCCATGTGATCAAAGGGCAGAATCTGCCCAAGCATATATGTTCATATCCCAACCACTTTATAGCTAGCGCACAATCTGTTTGTGACTTGCGATTGCAACACATGAGGCAGTTATATGCCTGTAATTAATACAGTAATTGCACAGCACCAATTATACATTTATAACATGTTGCCACACCATAACGTATATATAATAAAATCTAGGCTTACAAGATGCGCTGCACTTAGAACAGTCATTACATTATACGTGACATTAATTTACAGCGTTTAAACATCTATGAGTCACTCTACACGCATTTCAGTAGCAATTGCATTATTTTAAACCAAGACTTTGCCTTAGTTTATCGAATTATGGTTGGTGAACATCTACTAGTCGCTCCTTCATTAATGACAACCGACTTGCCCGCCTGCACGGGCTAACTATATCTCATTGATTATTGCTCTTAGGTTAGTCAAACTCAGTCAGTTTGTACATGTCCATGCACGTGTGAACACAAACGCATTGCCACTGCTGCCCTTCATTGATAAGCACCATTTTTAGACTGCCCTATCACAAACTTGTTTGATTAGAGTTGGCTGTCGATCACACCACACAGATAGATCGATTACAATAAAAATAGATTAGATTTATCACGATGACAATGAGAAAAACAATGACAGCAGATCAACATGAGTTCTAATACCATCACATACATGATAACAAACTAAAATTCCATAACAAATCTATACAAAATAAGCTCATGTATATAATCTGTATACATGTGTTTACAAGTCCTTCCAATTACCAAGAATTTGACACATTCAGAAGAACCAAAAATCTATCTTCATTATTAATTCACATTTCATAAGTTTCTCTGTTGATTTTTATTACATTAAAGTTATGTTGTGTAGCAGTAAGAACATTTTACTATGAATTTTTAAGAATAACAAATCATTTAATAATTTATTTAAAAACAAATGAATTATGTCTATATATTTACAGCTATAATCTATGAAGCTTTTTAGATATTAGTGTAGATTTAGAATATATTAAAATTCACAAAACTAAGATGAAGTATGAATTAATGAGGTAAGAGTGGCGACTGCGCAACATTATTTCTTAATATAAGTTATATTTCACTGACTTTCTTACCAATAATTGTCACACAAACTATGTGCATAATTTAAACCTTCATGATTTGCCAATGCAACAGCATTCACTCTAGATGTGACAGCGATGAATGGCTACAACATGTAAAATTGAAATAAAATTACTTTGGAAGAAATTCACTCTCCGCCTTGTAATTTATATGTGCTCACAAGTTAGAAAATGTCAAAAATTCTAAAAAAAATTAAGGCAGGATTCTACTGAGTCTGTGCCTACTGCTAGTACTGGTGCTATGGTTAGGGTTGGGGCTCAATTCCATTCGGGTTATAGCTGCCAGTGTCACAGAGTTGTTATTACTTTATCTAACACAATTAAGGCTAGGCTGGATTATGGCGTTTGCATAACAATCACAAATGACGATGGCTATAGTATAAGCGCTAGTTACTAGGGCTCATAGGGTCTATGTCCCCCAGGGTACTGCCGGAACGTACCCTGGGTACGGTCCGGTATACCGGA